CCAAAACTAACGGAGAAGATTCTCCCAAATTGCTCACAAACTGACAAACTCACAAATTGACTCTCACCAAATTGCCACACGAATGAGCCACACAAAATACACTAACCCTAAGATCCTATTTATAGTGCATAGGACTTAGGTTACAATAGGAATCCTAATAGGAAATAAATCCAAATTCTAATCAAATAGGTAATTAACAAAATCTCTCCACCAAGGAAACTAACTAAGAAGTCAAAATCAAACCCAAATAGGACACCAAAACCAAATAGGTAACACAAACCTAATTTATTGCATCATCCTAATTTTGAGCCAAAAACCCAACACGGTGATGGCTGTTTTTTGGGTAATTTGGGGGGAGAAGAATAGAAGGATATTTGACAATGTGAGGGTGATGATGTGGATTAGTGGGGGGAGTGGGTTTGCTTCTAAACATCTGTATGGGTTTTGATCTCTTAAGAGTTTAGGGATGGATTTTCTTTTGCGTTACTTTTTTTTAGTTTTTTAAATCAGAATGCAGCTCTTTATTAATGGTTCCTGTTTCTTTGCTTATGTTTTTAGGTTCATGGTCCATTTCTTTTTAGATCTTTGTTTTCTTAAGAGTTTTGGAAGCGTTCTTTTTACTGCTGTTTTGTTCTTATAAAAATTAGACAGTTTTAGGGCTCGTTTGGATGTGCTTTTAAAATGACTGAAAGTGCTTTTAGAGAAAATATTTTTGGGTTCCAAAAGCACTTCAAGTGCTTTTTGCAAGAAGCACCAATTGTGTGCTTCTTCTAGGAAAAACACTTCCAGGATTTACTTGCATTTATATTAAGGATTGGTTCTAAAACATTTCCACCAAAAGCGCTTTCAATTATTTTAAAAGCACATCCAAACGAGCTCTTAATTATTATCTACATCAGGAGATGATGAATGGAATGCGAGATTGCTTTAACTTTCAACTTCTCTTTGTTGACAATCTCAAATTTTATGAGATGTTTAGGTTTTTCTTCTCGTAGCTAATGTAGTCTTCTTTTACTTGTGGCTATAGATATCCAGCTAATATTACCCTTTTGCGTGGTAATCATGAGAGCAGGCAACTTACCCAGGTATGATATTATATAGATTGTATGGTGTTTTGGAAGAGACAATTATTAACGATACCCTCTAGTGTTTTGTTGAATACCAAAATTGGGAGCAAGGGTTCCAATGCTGTTTTTATTTGTTTGCATTTTGTTCTTTTGAATATTATTGTGTTAAAGCTATTGGTGGCTGGAATGAAATTGCAGTTCAGTGTATTCAGAGGTACTTTAGAGCACTTTTTGTGCCGACCATACTCAAATATTGCAATGTAATAGACTTGTTGGTTTGGCATGTAATGGTTGCTTAATATAATGGAGTCGATTGCAAGAGTTGTGTGCTAAAGGTTGAGTTGATAAATGAATTGCATGAATCTGAGTAAGAAATCCCAGATATTAGTGTTTCCATTTTTCTTATTCCTAGAATATATAGGAGGTCCAGGTGCATATGTATAATTTAGATCCAAATGTTCAGTAGAGGGACCTGATTAGGAGGTTACTGCCATAGCAGCATTTATTTAACTGTCTGTGCATGGAGTTTTGTTGCTGGCATTGTCAGTTGAATCCTTATCAATTAAAGTTGATCTCTGCTAGGTATATGGCTTTTATGACGAATGCCAGAGGAAGTATGGAAATGCTAATGCCTGGCGGTATTGTACAGATGTTTTTGACTATCTGACACTATCGGCAATTATAGATGGAACTGTAACCTTCTCTCCCTCTCCCCTTCTCTCTTGTCTATGTATATATATGTATGTGTTAGTATGCATATATCTCTTATCTCTGTCTCTGTGCATATTCCTATTTGTAACTTTGATTGCGTACTTTTTGATGGCAAATATGTTTATGTGGTTTGTCTTCCCAGGTGTTATGTGTCCATGGTGGACTTTCTCCTGACATCCGAACAATTGATCAGGTAAACCGTAATTTTTTTTGTATTATTTTTGTTCATATTATATATATAAGCATTTATGTTTTTCATGCGTGTTGCTACAGCTGAAATTCTGCAATTTCTTAGATTGTGTAGTTATGCGTTTTAACTGTAAATGATTGAAAGCAGCAGTGACTCCATAAGTGTTGGATTCTGGATCACTGGGTTCATGCTTTACCATGTGAACTACATGTCTATGACCTTGCTTTCAAAGAAGTTCTGTTTATTTTTGGTTTTCCATTTGTATGAATCATCATCATCATCACTGTACATACCTTTTCGTTTAACAGATACGGGTCATTGAGCGAAATTGTGAAATTCCACATGAGGGGCCATTTTGTGATCTCATGTGGAGCGATCCTGAAGATATTGAAACATGGGCAGTAAGTCCGCGTGGAGCAGGTTGGCTGTTTGGATCCAGAGTCACTTCTGAGGTATTAAGATCTTACTAATTAACTAGGATTCTCCCTGCTTGCTCTCTCTCTTTCTCTCTCTCTCTCTCGCACACGCTCGTGCGCACGCACACACATCACACACATCACACACATACTAAAGCTTAAGAATTTTGTTTTCTGCAGTTCAACCACATAAACAATCTAGATCTGGTTTGTCGAGCACACCAACTTGTTCAAGAAGGTCTTAAGTACATGTTTCAAGATAAAGGCCTTGTAACTGTGAGATTCCAAACCTCTTTTGTTGATTTTTTTTTTTCGTAATATTGTAGAAGTTTTATTGAATAGTTGGGTTGTTGAATTTTGCAGGTCTGGTCTGCACCAAATTACTGTTATCGCTGTGGGAATGTGGCTTCTATCTTGAGTTTTAATGACAATATGGTAAAGATTACTGGCTTGCCTACAGCCTTTTTCTTAATGGAAACTTTTAGATTCAGACTTTTATGATATGTGTACTTAGGATATCTTTCCGTCACCTTCACAGCTTCACTGTATGCATCACATAATTAAATTGATTATTTCTAGTGTCTGAAACACTTGGTTCTTAGAGACTTTCCAACATCCAAGAGCTGACATTTGCCATTTTCTAGAATCTCTCAACTTTTAGACTTTGAACATATAAACTTTTGAAGTAGCTATACTTGGCCCGGGATATCAATGCCTAATTTGGCGAGGTTATAAACTCACAGTCAAACATATTTATAAGATATGTCCAACTTCTAAAAGTAAAAATAAAAATTCCATATTCATGTTATCCTGGCATGAAAATAACTCTAAGCCATGCACCATGCTGCTTTTTGTTTTGGTGACCGAGAGGAGTGAAGATCAGTTTTTAATATCAAATATTCAGCTAGAAACTAAGGGCATGTTAGTTTTGAGGGCTTACTTTATAGACATTTATTGCATATTGTATTAGTTGTGCTACATGGCTCTCTTCATTTTGGTCTCAGAGTTTTTCGCTTCTTGATTATTTGTAATATTTGTTGGACAGTGGAATCAGTAAGTAGGGATGGGCATTGGGCCAAAAAATGGTCTATAACCCACGAACTAAAGGACAAATAATGGTCCATAACCCATGAAAACCCATTTACCAACATAATGGGTCTATCCATGTCTAATTGCTGCTGCGTGCACCTGAAAATAACGGTTTTTAGTATGTTTTTTTTACATCAAGTAGAATTTATGGCTGGACATGAATTTAAAACCATTGCGTTCACGATGGTTGGTGTTCTGTCGTTTGAAACAGGAGAGAGAGGTGAAGTTCTTCACTGAAACAGAGGAGAACAACCAGATGAGAGGACCGAGGACAGGAGTACCTTATTTCTTATGATCTTTTGGAGTGATTACCTGCATCATTTGTATAATCATTTTAAGTCTTGGTATAGGTGTTGAGAGTACTGGAACAGAGAAGAATCTTGAATACGTCGGTCAGTTGCTTTGGGGTGGATCTCCTTTCTGCTTGACTGTAGGTTTTCCATCTGGTCTGTCTGGTAGCCACACTATTTTACATTCTTGGGTTGTGTATTACTTATTAGGTTGCTAATTGTTATTCAATTCTTAATCCATGCCCGATACATTTCGTTATGTTTCTTGTCTGCCCTGTTTTGCAATTCGCATCTTACATTTATTCTTGACGTGAATTTCTTCTGGAGGATGAAGTAATCTTTTAATAAATAATTCTCTAGCGGCTACATTTTACGAATACATTTTTGTTCCTAGGAATGGATACACATTTTAACCGTTATGTTTGACGAATGAAAATTCACATTCGACAGTTTTGTTCACTTTTGAGCTCTGCTCTTGAAATGATATAAATAATCTGCCAAATTAAGAGGCGGTTGATAATTATTTTGTTTTTAAATTTTTGGTAATTACTTTTAGGTTTGAAAAAAAATGAAAATGAAAGTTCCAAGAGTGAAATTTTGAGAAAGTAGTTTTTTTTTATTAAAATTAAAATTTGTTATTAAATAAATTTTTAGTTTAAAAACAAAAAAAAATGGATTAGATTTTTTTTCGTATGAAAATTAAGGGTCATCCAGCTTAATGTAAACTCAACGAGGACGTGAACCTCTCCAATGAACAACATTTAAAAATGAAGATAAATGGACTACTTTAAAAATGAAATGCTCTAATCACCAAATCAATCAATTGAAGAAGTGACGAATTTAGGGCCCCGCTATCTCTCTCTCTTTCTTTCCTTTTCTTTTCGCAAATTCAGTATGGGCTGAAAAAACAAACTAGACAAATCAAAAGCCTATTTTGGGATGCTGTTATTTTGATCCAAAAACCTATTTTGGTTTCGCACTAGCTTTACAATCTCATTATTGACTGTAAAGAAGTCATCGAAAAAAATTAAAAATGCGAAGTCACACATATCTATAGAAAAAAGTATACCTCAACTGATCACATGGTTGACTTGGGTCATGGTCTATCCCTTGGTCTTCATGTTTTTGTTTCTCCTCCTACCACTACTTCTTGCCTAGCTTTTTTGTTTTACTTGCCAGGCTTTGCCCTCCTCTGAACAAAAAAAACAAAAAAAACAACAACAAAAAAAAATTGCAAATTCAATGTCTGCATTATTATATCATTTTTTTGTGAGTTTATGAGAATTTATGAAATATTGGGCAGAAGTAGATAATAATTAGTTTACTAAAAAGGTGTGAAAAAAAAAAAAAAAATCTTCGTCGAGAAAAATATATATAGGAAAGATGGGAATGGTAATGAGAATGCATAAGCAGTGGCAGTGGCGCAGAGGGAACCTACTTCCGCTTGTCTACCTTCCAGTAGTCGTATTGTCGTCATTTGGTGGTGGCGCCGGTTCCTCTCTAGGTTTCTCCGTCCGAGCGTCCACGTCATCAGAACCCACATCAAGAGTGAGGATGAGTGAGAGTGAGATGCAGCGGCCTCCGGTGGCGAAGAAGGTGGAGCATAAGATGGAGATGTTCGGCGACGTCCGCGTGGACAACTACTATTGGCTCCGCGACGACTCTCGCTCCGACCCCCAAGTCCTCTCTTACCTTCAACAAGAAAACGATTATACTCAATTCCTCATGTCTGGTATCAACTAAACTAGTATTGCATTGCTTACCTTTCCCCATCGCATCCAGCATTTTTCCTTCTTTATTCGATTATTTTCAATTTTTGATTTGATCTTCAATTCATTCAGCAGCACACCTTTAAACCTAACTAGCAGATGCAATTTGTTGTTTCTTCTCTAATTGCTTGTTTCTCAACTATAACTACAATTCTCCATTTTAATTTAAAATTTAATTGGCTTACATTAGGAAATAAGAAATTCGAAGATCAACTCTACTCTGAGATTAGAGGGAGGATCAAGGAGGATGATATATCTGCACCTGAACGAAAAGGCCCCTACTATTACTATCAAAGGACTCTCAACGGTATGGAGTACGTTCAGCATTGTCGCCGCTTAATACCCAAAACCAGCAGCGAGGGTGATGCGGACCCCCCAGTATCTGTGTATGATACCATGCCCACCGGACCTGATGCTCCTCCGGAGCATGTAATCTTCGATGAGAATGTTATGGCTAAAAATCATGCCTATTATAGCATTGCTGCTTTTAAGGTATCTACCTAATCCAATATTACAACAACATGACAATGCGTTTATATGATGACGATCTCAATACAGTTTATGGAGTGTTTTCATGTTCATTTCTTAATCCTTCTTCAGGTTAGTCCAAACAACAATTTGGTGGCATATGCAGAAGACACCAAAGGAAATGAAATCTATACAGTTTATGTCATTGATGCCGAGACAGGTGCTCCTGTGGGTCTGCCTCTTGTTGGTACGACATCCTATCTTGAATGGGCCGGCAACGAGGCTTTAGTTTACATTACAATGGACGAGACCCTCCGCCCTGACAAGGTTTGATACTGCTGCTTTAAGCCCTCTGTTTCCTCATCTCATGCTATGTTTCACACACATACTTCACTTGCTTTTTCAATTGTTCTGCAACATAATTGTGGGTAGATTTTTGAGGTGTCATTACTCAAGGACTGGCGTGCCTGATAAAATATTTAGCCAATTTCTGAATTTTGAAATTTTTTCATGTTTCGGTGAAATTTAGAACTAAGCAACTTACCCCAGTTGTGTACATCCTATCTGGGAGGCTTGCCTGCCGTGTTTACTTGTTATAATTTACATTGATATTTTGTTTCAATATTGTCTCCTATGACCACATTCCCATGCTTTTCCATGAGAATTCATTTTATGACATTGTTTATCTTGATAAGTGCTGAATATAACGTTGGATATATCCTCCTATATCTCTGTAGAATTCGATTCTGTTTTCTTGTTGGTTGTCTTGCTGCAGATGCAGTGAGCCAAGAGGTTATACCTTGAACCCTGTCTGGCTCACAGCCTCACGGAGAAAAAAATAGTGCATACATTCTGTTCCATTGTCTATTTTTGTGAGTAAACTGCTTAATCTGACATCTTGCTTTCTTTTTAATAGGCATGGTTACATAAGTTGGGGACAGAACAGTCAAGTGACTCCTGCCTCTATCACGAACTGGATGATATGTTTTCAATTGATCTTCAAGCTTCTGAGAGCAAAAAGTTCTTGTTTGTTGCATCCGAAAGTAAAACTACAAGATTCAACTTTTACCTTGATAATTCAAAGCCTGAAGATGGGCTTATGGTTCTGACACCTCGCCTAGATGGCATTGATACATTTGTTAGCCATCGAGGAAATCATTTTTTTATAAAGAGGAGGAGCAACCAGTTTTTTAATTCTGAAGTAATTGCTTGTCCATTGGAAAATACATCTGAAACTACAGTTCTTCTTCCACACAGGGAAAGGTGATAACTAAATTTTTATATCCTTACTCCGCATGCAGGACCTTAATAATGTTCATGAATGGACTTGTCTTTTTTAATTTTTAAAAACATGCAACCACGTGATTTATGTTTTATCAATATTACGTCTAATTTTCCCCGGTGAAATTAAGTATATAGATAATTAAAAAATTATATATCGACATGTGATTTGCAGTGCATTTTCCAGAAATGAAACTGGAAATTTTCCTTGAGCCATTCACTAGCTTTTTGTTTTTCTCACATATGCGCTGTTTTAACTGTGAATAAGAGAGATGTGACAATGGAATGAGTTAGATGTGTTGTTCACTACTCCATGCCACCTGGTCCAATTGTTGTGTATGGATTTGCGTACTTTTCTATAACTTTTTCTCAGGGCCTGATATTTTTTAATTTTTTACCTTTACTATTCTTAGCAGGCATGTTTTCCTTGATAGTTAGGCATACTAATTTAGAAATTTCTTCAGTGTGAAAATTCAGGATATACATCTTTTTAGTGATCACCTTGTTGTATATGAACGTGAAGAGGGTCTACCAAAAGTCACTATCTATCAACTTCCAGATGTTGGACAACCACTTAAAACCCTTCATGGTGGTCAAGCTGTTAAATTTTTGGATCCCACATACTCTGTGGATCCATCAGAATCAGAATTTTCTTCCTGCATCTTACGATTTTCTTATAGCTCCATGAAAACACCTCCCTCTGTGTATGATTATGATATGAAGACAGGTGTTTCTGTTTTGAAGAAGATTGAAACGGTAAGTCGTATTTATTATTACTTCAAATACTAAATTTTAGGAGCCTAACCCTTTGTATACTTGTCTTTTTAACTCTCTTTTCATGTACATGTTTATTGTTGCAATAGTAATGATTTATTTTTTACTTTTTTGAAAGTAAGCTTTGCGTTTATTCCATTTACTATCTCTACCAGGCCTTGGGTTCCTGTGTATGTGTATTTGTGATAGGTGGTGTTGTCATTTATGTTTCTCAGGTTTTGGGAGGTTTTGAAGCATCAGATTATGTTACAGAAAGGAAATGGGCTAGTGCTCCAGATGGTACTCAGATTCCAATATCAATTGTTTATAGGAAGGATATTGTAAAACTTGATGGATCTGATCCATTGCTACTCTATGGCTATGGCTCTTATGAGGTAACAGAAGAATTCGTATGCAAGTTTTTTTTTTGTATTTTCTTTTTCACTGACATTGTAATCGTCGTGTGATTACACTGAAAAGCTTATTACTTGTAGAAAATTTTGCGAGATGCTTTGAATTGGACAATTAGAAAGTACAGCACTGAAATCTGAAGCCCTTAAAAATATATGACCAGATCCATTTTTAAACATGTAGCCATCACAAAAGAAACTTTTGTGCTTTTGATACGTTACTGCTCTGCGGATATTCCTTTTCCAATATCTGAATCAATTGACATCTTAAGAAAGTTTTCTTGTTATTACCTTATAGGTTGTCTGTTTAATGCATTATGTATCATCCAGTTGGATTAGTAATTAAAATATAGAATTTTGTTTCTGGCCTATGATGGCTAATTCTAATCACAATTTGGTAAAATTGTTCAAGTATGTTGGACATTGTCAGTGGCCCTCACAATTGAAAATACTGCAGGAGGCAATATCCTTTTAGCCATTTGGAAGAGGGCTTATTTTGTTCGTTTCTTGTTTTCATTTCTCTCTCAGTGACTCAGGAGTTTTATTATGTCAATAGGTCTGTATAGATGCCAGCTTTAAAGCTTCAAGGCTCTCTTTGCTGGATAGGGGTTTTATATATGCTATAGCTCATATTCGTGGGGGTGGTGAAATGGGGAGGCAGTGGTACGAGAATGGAAAGTTGCTGAAGAAGAAAAATACTTTTACAGATTTTATTGCTTGTGCTGAGTATTTGATAGAAAAGAAATATTGCTACAAAGAAAGATTATGCATTGATGGAAGGAGTGCAGGTGGATTGCTTATTGGTGCTGTTCTTAATATGAGGCCTGATTTGTTCAAGGCTGCTGTTGCTGGAGTGCCTTTTGTTGATGTTCTGACTACAATGCTTGACCCAACTATCCCCCTTACAACTTCAGAGTGGGAGGTATTTTTCTTTCCTCATCAGATCCTGACCCTGAAAATTTTAACAGGATGAATCAAATGCATGTGATAAACATCTAGTTTTATTGACATCATTCTAGACATCGGCAATTTAATCGTCACATCTTGGGTATTTACTATTTTTCACTGTGGTGGATAATAATTTAATCATCACATAATTTTTTTTTTGGTCTGAATTATCACATCATTCTAGGCATCTCACAAAACCAAGTGTAGTGGCATTCTAGGATTCACGTAGTGAGATAAGCCTGGGTTGTTATATTCTAGACATCTCCAAAAAAAAATTCCAACACCAGTTTACTGATATTGCCATTTTCTTTTTTCCATTGTATAAGTTCTGGGGTTCTTTGCTTGAAATTTCTTTATACATTTGTTGGTTTTACAGATCTACCTAGTTATATCCGTTTTCCCCGTCTTTACGATCTTAATTTACTTTTGGCGACTGCAGTCAGGTTGCTGCTATATTTTCCCAAGGTGTGGGTTTAGACACCAACTACATTCACTGATATAATTTTATTTTTGCAGGAATGGGGTGACCCACGTAAAGAGGAGTTCTACTTTTACATGAAGTCATATTCCCCTGTTGATAACGTGAGATGACAATATAACCTATGCTGTACTACTTTAATCAGTATATTTATAACAATTAAGCTAGAATAACCATAAGTTGGCATCATTTTGGTCATCACTTCTTTCCTACCCATCCAAACAACAAAAATGAATATGCAACTTAAATCATGTATTTTCTCTTTAATTCTGCCCTAGCTAAAATCCCAAACGCATTACTAGGTCATGAATTGTAGTACATTCCAAAACATTTTGTTTACTCTAATAATCTATATTTGGCATTATTTTATACAGGTTAAGGCTCAAAATTATCCGAACATTCTTGTTACTGCTGGTCTAAATGGTAGGCATAATATCATAACACTTTTGCTTCCGCAATTTCAATATCTGCATTATCGATTTAAATAATAGGAAGGATACAAATTGTACTTTCATATCCAATAGATGTATTCTTCACCTAATATCATATATGACGTATTATTTCTCCAATTGATACACTGGTTTTTTGCAACAGATCCACGGGTTATGTACTCAGAACCTGCTAAATTTGTGGCAAATCTAAGGGATAAGAAGACTGATAAAAACATCATTATGTTTAAATGTGAACTTGGTGCTGGGCATTTTTCAAAGTCAGGGAGGTAATATTATTTCTGTTATTATGCGTAAAGCTATTCACTTGTGCTGGAATTTTTAAGTTTTTATTTATTTAAAATCTCACCTCACCCCAAGAATTGAAGAATATCATCCATGAAAATAACCTCCTTAAAAAATAAAACGGTGAGGGATTAGTAATAGCGCTTTATGTAAAGTGAGACTCCTTCAAGGCTATTGTAAAGAGAAACTCCCAAATATTTCTAGGAGTAACAAGAGCTTGAACATCACAACCCTTTTACCCAATCTGGAACTAAGTTCAGATACCTTCTCACACGTGTTCCTGGTTCGTATGGTCAAACTCTTATTATTAACTACGTTCTTCTTAAGGTTCTCTGTTGCCAACTAATCAAACATTCCATGTCTATGTAGCTTAAGCTTTTAAACTTATATTGGATTCGACTAATTTGTATAAACCTTTAGGTCCCTACCCTTTTACTTGTGTGCATTGCTTTGCCGTGTGGGGTGTAAATGTTTCTGAACATTTTGAATGATTCATGTTTTTCCCAAGGAAATTGTTTCTGAAACAGAGTCTGAGTCTGTTTTTCACCGTAAATAGAGTTTTATATAGATAGACAGAAAAACTTTATTGCCTTTGAGATATAGTTGAAGTCTGAAATATTTCCATATACTATCTGTAATGAAGTAATAATTCTTGTTTGGCGCAGGTTTGAGAAGCTTCAAGAAGATGCCTTCATATATACCTTCATAATGAAGACTCTAGATATGGTTCCTGCCGGAGGGTCCGGGGGGAATTAAATACACTGCTTCAGGTAGGATGTGGTGCGACTCCGCTGTGTTACCTAGTATATCATTCACATGAAAAACGATATCAGCAACACCTTTTCTTTTTCCTGGGTTTGTAATATCAGCAACGCCCCTTTGCAGTTTTCTGTTGAATATGACATTGTTAAACAGGAATAATAACTAAACCATTGCGTGTGCGTGCATAATGTACGAGTCATTTTACGGGGAAATTCTAAATGCCAAACCAACAAGACGAGCAAACCACTTTCAAAATGTTGAGAGGCTTTTTCTTTGTTTTTGTTTTTATTATTATATAGTAAGACTTGCCCCTGAAATATACAAATGAATAGGTTTTCTTGTTTACCATGAAAAGAAAACATTAGAGCCGCCGGAAATAGAAGAAAATGAGTGTTTGGGCGCTTGCTTGCCACCTTTGAAGGCAGGTGGGTTGGTCGGCCTCAGGCCATTTAAATTTGTGAATATGTTGGTGCAACTTAATTGGAGGAAAACCATAACAAAACGAGACCATGTTGGTGCAACTTTTTTGTTGGTTTGGTTTGGTTGAGTGTTTTTATCTTTAAATCGGCATTGGAGATGGATGGATGGATGGATGTCAACATCCTTTTGCGTAAATCCCGACTGCGACATAACAAACAAAACAAAACAAATCCTTATCTCAATCCTCGCAACAGAATCAAGCAGATAACCACATTTGATTACGTCTTCTCCTCCACCACCACCGCCACCCACTTGTTTCGTCTGTTTTGATCGCACTCTCGCACGGACTACTCTCCCACACCACACATCATTTTTTGGTCTAGGATTCTTTCTCTTCCTCTTTCTATCTCTTTTCCTCCACTCCTCTCACATTCTTTATTTTATCTTTCTCTTTCTATATAAAATTAATTTAATATATTGACGTGACTTAATCATTACCGTTCAAATAGGAAAAGAGGGAAGGAAAAGAAAAAAAGAGATGAGAGAATCCTACTCCATCTCTTGTGCTCCTCTCCCTCCCTTTCTTTCTCCTCTCTCTCTCTTATATTTGAGTATACTAATTAGATTTTAGGAACAAAAACCAAACACCGTCGTTGGAGAGCAGCCACGGCGGCACCTACCTCCAAAGCCTCTTGAACTCGACCCGCCCCTTCCTCCGGGGTGAGCTGGAGTCCGTTGACAAAAATATGCCTTCTCTGGTGGCCGTGCTGCGCTCAGTTGGAGCTGGCGAGTGCTGGCACAAGCACGGCACCTTTCTCGAACACCTCGTTGACATCTACCGCATTCTCAAGATATGGCAGGCCCCTGCCTCTGCTCTGCGGCCTCTTTCACTCCGCTTATTCCAATTCCTATGTCAACCTTGCCATCTTTGATCCTTCCACAGGCCGCGAGGTCATTCGTGCCCATGTCGGGGAGGCTGCGGAACGCTTGATTTACTTGTTCTGCATTGTCCCCAGACAGCCTCTCATCCACGACGACCTTTTGTTCTACTTCATCGACGTGGATCTCGTGGAGCATCTCAAACAATCAGAGATGTCGCTGCAGCAGCTGCAGAACCAATCGGAGGCTGCAAGCCCGAATTGTAGTTGGAGGAACAAGGTGCAGAGTCTTGTTCCCGCAAATGGGGTTACAGTGAAGCACATAAAGACCGGGGAAGATGTGTTGGTATCGAGGAGGGTGGTTGCAGTGTTTGTCCTGATGACCATGGCAGATTTCAGTGATCAACTCTTCGGTTTCCAGGACGAGCTCTTTGATAACAAAGATGGCCGCCTCGAGTTTAGGGGCAACAATTATGGAGCTCTGTGGCCCCGCGATGGCATGCCAGGGCTTTGGATGAATTCCATATCAAGGATGGCTGCAATATACAATTTGATAGTGAGAGAGGAGGAGATGTTTATCCAAGAGAAGAAAACTGTTAGTACTGCTACTGCTGCTGCTGGAAGTGGAGGGGATGAGAATGCCGGGGTGGACAAATGTAGAGATGAAGACATCGAGCTGGTGGTGCCACCAGTGTTTGACAAATGCACGAGGGTTCTGGATGCGGAAGAGCATTTGGCTGCAAGGGAATTGAACTGGGAAGCTGTATGTGATGTGTCTCAAAAATAGGGAAAGAAAGGAGAGGAGGACAGAGCTGAGGAGTTGCTGTTGAGGTGTGTTGAGAAGAACCCTGTCATTGGGGAGCCGCATGTGGTGTTGGGTCAGGTTTATTTGACAGAAGCAAGGTTTGAGGAGGCGGAGAGGGAGGCAGAGAGAGGGCTAACCCGGATGCTGGAATGGAGGAGTGCTTGGGACAAGAGGATGACTTGGGAAGGATGGATTGCTTGGGCAAGGGTGCTCCTCATGAAGGCAAAGGACAGAAGTTGGCCACAAACTTCCTGGGCCATCCTCAACTTGGGCCTTGTCAGGTAGGCCGAGGATCCATCGCCATCGCCAAGCTTAACCACCGCGTATCTACATTCAATAGTTATTTTTTTTAATACATCGATATTTTTACACTAAGAAGAAGGGAAGTCCAGCTAAATCTATATTCAATAATTAAATAAAAGAATTCCCGCTGCCAGTTTTGGAACTCTGTGGGTAGGCAATTTCATGCAAATAGGGAGAGTGAGGATCTTGCTCAACAAGGAAGATGGTAGTCCATATACTGAAGCCATTACTTCCAGTAAGGACTAAGGAATAAGGATTGCTTTATTACTACTGCACTTTAATTTTATGGTCTAATTCTCTAATTGTTACCCACTTCCTTGAATGTCTGATGTATCATTTCACTCTAAAGCTAGCGCAATCAACGCAACCTGTCTAATCCAGCTCATGTTTCATCATTCACTTTTGATATTTTTTATTTTTATAACCAAAGTTCATCTAAAGTATACGAATCGAAAATAGTTTGAACTCGAAGTGCAATGAATTGATGATAATACTCTATTTATCTACTTATCAAGACAATCCACTATGTTTTTACTTTTGATGTGTCCACAGCTCATGAGGCATTAATTTATACTGGCAAATTCCAACATTTTATCTAGTATTGACATGAAACTTGAATTTGAGTCTTTAAAAAGTTAAGAGAGAGAGAGAGAGAGCACACAAGTTAATACAATGGAACAAAATAAGTCAAAATTGAGGAACGATAGTTTGACAAATTTCTCCGAATGTTCAACTACTTTCTAACTAATATTACATAATTACACACAAATATACGTATATGACGTGCTACTCAAAAACATTTGTCTCAGTAACTACAAAAATTTTGCAAACACATTTTCATGACCAAAAATGCTATTCTTGCTTTTATACTATATATGTTGTAAACCTTTCTAATAGAGATGAAACCTACATATGTTGGTGAATCCTACTTCTACTAGAGAGGTTATACAAATATAGTATGAAAATATGGTAAGTGTAGTATAAACAAGCATCACATATGGAACCGATAGGCAAAGGTACACTAGTCTTCCTTCCAAATTAGGAAAAGTGAATAATCATGAGCAATCAACAGTTAAGCAAGCTCTAGGAGTTAATATAATTAGCTCAATCTGAACCATCCTCTCGTCCACTTCTTTTTAATTATCACCATCATCATCATCAGTAGTCAGAACCCTTTTTAATTTTCTAATTAATTTTTTTTAATGTTGATTATATTCAAGATTGTCATTTCATACCATTTAATTAAAAGAGATGCAATTGAGTGGTTAATTTCTTTTCCAGTTTAGTTGGCAATAATTAATTGAGACTTGATATTGAAAGATAACCTGATCGATCAATGCTAATCTTGTAATGCATTCGAGCTTTGACTTGGAAGCGTTACAAAAAAAATAGGGTTCTCTCGTCTAACATGTTTGGTTAACTCATGCTAGTTTTTTTGCCTCAATAATAATAATAATAATAATAATAATAATAATTCAAGGCACATATTACTCATGTTTAAAAAAAATAAATAAAGAATATGTTATATTAGTATCGTGTTATTGAGTGAGTCTTAAAGATTAAAAAAAGAGAACATGTGTTATGTGTTGTGTTTATACCATATTTAGGGCCTCGTATTTAGATCTCATACAAATACTCGGTGGACTTAAATGTAATTATGTGATAAAGGAAAGGGCAAATATGTAATAAGTGAGGAGTCTTTATTCTATAAAAGGACCCCTCACCCTCACAATTGAGGGAAGCCAACTCTTAGGCCTGAAACCCTCTCACATCCCCTCTCATATTACAGAGGCTCTCTCCCTCACTTCTCAGAGAAAGACAATACAACCAGTGTGGACGTAGCCCAAACCTTGGGGTAAACCACGATACATCTTGTGTTATTTACATTTCATGCAGATCCACGGTCGGATTTACGTTGTTCCAAGACCTCCGGTTTTGTGCATCAACATTTGACGCCGTCTGTGGAAATCGACACGAAAAGCTATGTCGGTTCTCCCTCAATTTTCACCTCCGTCGTGGATCTGCAAAACCTACACAGAGACACAGACACAGAGCTCTCTCTCTCTCCACGTCCACCAATCCACTCCAAATTCTAAATTCTAGAGCCATAATCAGAATCTGTCTCATAAATGGAGGTCTCCTAACAAAGCAACCTCTGAGATAGTGTGGTGGAACTGACCAAAAGGGCACAACAAAAGAGAGGAGATAGAGCTTTGTTTGAGTATATCTATCAGCTTCTAGAGAGAAAGAGAGGAGAGAGCAAAAAAAAAAAAAAAAAAAAAAAAAACTGATAGTGACAACTCTACGAGTTCCCTTGCTGACAACGGTCAAGACGGTGGGTCAAGCTCGCCATGAACGACGAGGCGATGGTCGTCGACCTTCTTCTCCTCCTCAAGCACGCCGCGCCGTCTTCGCTGTCGAAACACCATGGACTTCCCCAACCACTCCCAGAGCGGCGGCGCCAGGTCCAAGCAGCAACAGCAGCAACCCGTGTTGGCTCTAGACCTTCGTGCCCTTCGACACGCTCCCAATCTCGCTCTAAGTCCTTCACCTCTTCCTCCTCTCCGTCTCGGGGTAAGAACCCGACAGAGCATAGATAGCAGAACCATGGGAGCGTTGACGAAGAAGGAGCTGACGGTGGCGGTGGCGACTCCGTCTGTGCTGCGCTGGAGTGTGCATGGAAGAAAATGATATGGAGAATGGGATGTTTCAGGTGAAAAGCGTGGAAGAGGCCATGAATGTTTTGTTGCCCCAAAAGCCTCAGCATGTTAGGGACTTGATGAAGATCTCTTTTTACATGCCTGTTAAGAATGTCCCCCTTGTTTTCTCAATGATTTTATTGAGGTGATGTGTTCAGAACATCTTCAAGAGAGGAAAGAATTGATTCAAGCACTACACAAGGACATGAAGTTGTCTGATCTTCCGAAGATAAACCATCCAACACTAATCATCTGGGAAGAGCATTGAAGCCCGCGAGTTTTATTAAAGTTTTCAGAGTCCTCCCAAATCTTCAAAACCATCATTCGTTGTTGATTTCTCTTCTGTTTGATTTGAAGCGCAACCCTGGTAATCCGGGATGTCTGAGCCAAAGCTTCAATCTTCACCATCCACCTGGCGATTAAACTTGGTTTTCATCATTTGGGTTCTGCTATAAATCATCCCTTCAGTGTTTGAGTTCTTCACATCCACTCGCTCATTCACTCTGGTTTGTTTCTCGGTCCTCCAATTTCTTTGTTTTTTGCAAAAATGGCCAACTTTTTGGGGATTTTCACAGCGAGGAACTTGCTTGGGTTGTCACTGGCTCTTAATCCGAGCTTGGTTTTGAGGGTGGTTTACAAGAGTGGGAAGGATTGGGGCCCACATGGGTTCTCTGTGGAGGAGCAGAGAGGGCCGTCAATGGCGAACATGAGTTTTGGAAAGGAAGCTCAGGCAACGCAGATGACGCGTCTGTCCGCTCCTTCTTCTTCTTCTTTTGGCCAAGATGTCATGGACAAAGTTATCAACTTCGACAAATTCAAGTCTCAAAGTCCAGAGCTTGAGCTTCGGAATCAACTATGGACAAATAACCAACAACCATCCATCTCCGTCGCGAGTGGCAGTCCTCATCCAGCCCCTCAACGTCAGCTGCATCAAACTTTACGATGTGGGTCCGAACGTCCTCCAAACCTTCAGCAGATGCTGATGGAGATACCAAGAAAGGCAAAAGAAGAAAGCAGAAAGAAAAACAATCAAGTGAGCTGCGGCACAAAAGCAAAAGACAGAGGTGCAGTGGGAAACAGAAACAAAAGCAAAAAACAAAAGCAGAAAAGAAATGAGAAGGCAAAAGGGAGGCACATGGGGACACTGCAAAAGCAAGGAATAAACACCCCACCAGAATGATGTAATTTATTTTCCTTATCTTTCGGAAACATCTGTATAAACCCCATCAGAGGGTAAAAAAAAAAAACGGCAAAGCCCAAAATAAATGGGTTGGCATGTTGTGGAGGGCGAAGGCCCATAAGCCCAAAATAGCACCAACCAGGTGATCAAAAGTACGTCCAGTACTCCAAAATTATTCGGCAACCTGCCACTATTACCATCAACCAGGTGATCAAAAGTACGCCCAGTACTCCAAAATTATTCTGCAACCTACCGCTATTACCACCAACCAGGTGATGAAATGTACAACCCGTACTCTAATATCATTTGGCAACTAGCCATTCATGCCACCAACTAGGTGATGAAAGGTACAACCCGTACTCTCCTTCATGCCACCAACCAGGTGATCAAAAGTACGCCCAATACTCCAAATTATACATGAGCATTACTCATGTCATTCATACATAAACATTCATGAACATCACTCATGACAATCATACATAAACATTCATGACCATCATTCATGTCAACATTCATGAGCATCACTCATGTTAACATTCATGAGCATCACTCATGTTAACATTCATGAGCATCACTCATGTCAATCAACATAAACATTCATGAGCATCACTCATGTCAAACAGCTTCAAAAGCTTCATTTACAGAGCTCTAGCTTCAAAGCTTTACTTGCAAAGCTTCATCTACAAAGCTTCAGTGCAGGGTATACAAATACCGCATCCGAACAACTGCCACTTCGGCCCATACATGAATTTAATTTGAAGTATCCAGCAAACAAACTCTATTGACCGAAGACTTGGGGGACTACACTATACACCATATATTGGGCCTCAACTGGGTCTCATAAAAAATACTTAAGGGACTTAGCCCATTATTTATGTAATGAGGAACGAGCTCTTATTCTATAAAAGGAACTCCCTCACTTTCGTTAGAAAGCACCCATCACTTATGTATTAAGGAGCGAGCCCTTATTCTATAAAAGGGACTCCCTCACCACCATTAGAGAGCATCGCCGTGTTACAACCACCCCCAAAATAATTGGAAAATTTGTTATTTCCACCCCTCTGCCACGTGTCGATCATCAACCTCTCTTCTTTTTCTCTCTTTTTGACCCCCTCTGTGACCTGCTTCTTCTTCGTCTCTCCCTCTCGTAGCTCTCTCACTCTCCTGTGTATCTCTCTCCCTCAAAACTCTCGTCTCTCTCTCTTCCCCTGGACTCTCGAAGACCATATCACCCTCAGGAAAGGCTCGCCATAAGCCCATGACTGTCTCTCTCTGCGAGATCGACGGCACGGAGCAAAAACTCCGGCGAGCATTTTCTTTCTTTTTGTTGAGGTAAATCACAAATCTCTCATTCTCGTTGTTACCTTGATGTTTGGTTGTGATTTAGAAGCTTGAACCTTCCTCTTTTACGTAGATTTTGCTTTAGAAATCAGTGTGGGTGAACACACCCATTTTTCCGGCGAACCGTGGACTTTGGGAGCTTTTTCCGGTCACCTCCGACCGAGTTATGGTTTTTGGAAGGTATAAACCTCTTCCTCTCTCCTTGTTCTTCATGGTTGTACTTAGATCGGAGCTTAAAGCTCATATTTTCAGGTGACCGGAGCTGTAGCAGCTCCGGCCTTCTTCTTCCTCGGCACCAGGCCGTCTGGCCTCTCCCATTTCCTCCTCGGGCCTTAGGCCCGTGTGGTCTTTAGCCCAAAACCCTAGTCCCCTTTATTTTTTTTAGTTAGTTTTGTTATTTGGTTTCTTTTTAAAACCTTAGGGCCTTGGGCCGGTTAGATATTAAAGGGCTTAAGCCCTGTCTTTTTTTTTATAAGGCCTTAAGGCCTTTATATTTTGGTGGTGTATGTGAACCGTGTGTGTGTGAGTGCATTTAGGCGTGTGTGTGTGTGTGTTGTTAAGTATATGTTTGGGCTTAATGCCCAAACCCCTTTCCTAACCCTAAACCATTTTAACCAAAACCCTAGGTTCCTAAAATCCTTTAAAAACCCTAAACCCATCCAATCCCTAATTCCCTATTTTATTTAATTCAAACCCAATATTTTAGAAAATCATTTTATTTATTAATTATATTTTTGTGCTTAGGTAAAGTTGCTATTAAGGAAATTCGTAATCCTGATTCGCACGATTCTTCTGCTAAGGAATATTTGTGAGTGGATCCCTTCTAAAATTACATGATTTTATAGTTTAATTGCATAAATGACTAGCATGCCTACGAAATTTGCGAATTGATTTATATCAATCCTGTTTACTGGATTTATTGATTTCGTCTCGTGTTTTGGTGAGGAAATAAATTGTTAGCCTAGTTTGAGCTATATTTTAATATATCGTATTTTCTATAAAAACCATGAACTGGTAGACTATCAGATAGATGACGATAGGATGCTAGAACATGTTTTTGAACCCCTCTTTATAGTGTAGACGATGATCGGTAACCTATGCTATGAAGTGGTTATTTATGAGAGGCGTAAATATTTGTGCGTACCTAGTAGACACTATGCCGCCTGGGGCGAGGATCTGGTGTTGGCATGTAGGCCGGGAGAAATAATCCCTAGCGAAAGGCTGAGGGACACAGAGACAGGCATTGGGCCGGGAGGGAGTTATCTCTGGCTACGGGCACAGAGACTTAGGTGCAGGCATTGGGCCGGGAGTTATGTTTATTCGGTGATCTTACTAGCAGCACACCGCGTTTACGAGACGATCTGTGAGACGATTCATGCTTTGGTTTTACGCGATGATATTCCGCGATATGGCTTTTGAGATATTTTTGGCATGCTAGGATTTTGATTTAAATCCATCACTTACTATGCTAGTAGTTTTCACTATTAAACTTTGGGGGTTAGTATGTTGATAATTGTTTTATTATTATATATATATATAAACTTGGTCCACTCACCTTTGTTTTGCGCCCCCATTCAGGACTTAGAATCAAGGCACCTAATCCCGGCGTGAAGACACTTCTGCAGCAGCATCTTCGGATCCTCTCGATGTAGGACCCATTTATTCATTAAATTTTATCTAAATTCCTTTTAGTGATTAGGTTTAGTTGTATGCTCCGAGCACGTTCCTAAAACTTTTAACTCATTGTATTTCAAATTTCTAACCCTTATTTATTTCTTATTCTTAGCTTTTGTATCAATTAATGGCTTTCGTCACCCCCGGGTGTCGGCCAGCACGTGTCGGTCTTGGTATTCGGGGAATATCAGGGTCGGGGCGTGTCACGCCGCCTACTGAGCAACTGCCTCGTCGCGAGCATCACTCCTAACCCATTATTCATGTACCGAGGAGCAATCCTTTATTTTATAAAAGGGACTCTCGCACTTTCATTAAAGGGCATTGCCGCCAGCTGAGCAACCGTCTCGCCGCGAGCATCACTTTTAGCCCATCACTTATGTATTGAGGAGTGAGCCCTTATTCTATAAAAGGGACTCCATCACCTTCAACGCCACAAGCCGAGCCAACCAAGACAACATAAGCCACAAGATGAGCAGCCTCGCAGCATGTGCTACTTCTAGTTGGGCATCATTTCAGATTGAGCACCGCCTCATATCGAACATCAGTTCAAGACAACATCTAGTTACTTCGGCCCACACATGGACCGAATTTCAAATCTCCAGCCAAAAGACTCTCTTGACTGAAGACTTGGGGGACTACTGTTTATACCATATTTAGGGCCTCGTATTTAGATCTCGTACAAATACTCGGGGGACTTAAATGTAATTATGTGATAAAGGAAATGGCAAATATGTAATAAGTGAGGAGTCCTTATTCTATAAAAGGACCTCTCACTCTCACAATTGAGGGAGGCCAACTCTTAGGCCTGAAACCCTCTCACATCCCCTCTCACATCCCCTCTCATATTACAGAGGCTCTCTCTCTCACTTTTAAGAGAAATACAATACAACCAGTGTGGGCGTAGCCCAAACCTTGGGGTGAACCACGATACATCTTGTGTTATTTACATTTCATGTAAATTCACGGTCGGATTTAAGTTGTTCCAAAATCTCCGGTTTTGTGTATCACCATGTTGTAATTATTGGCTCATGTGATTGGATTGAATTACATGAAAAAAACTCTTTAAGTATTGTCATTTGCCTCGAGAAGTGAGAAGCGATGTTCGAAGAGTCCGCACAAATTAATTACAATTGGAATGGAAAGACAGGAGGAGAAATGATAAGGCCTTTTGTATGGCACAAGAAAAGGTTGTGCGAGGGACCTGTGGATGGCAACGATAACGAGCGTTGCGCTACGAAATACAAGGGAAGGGGAGGGGTTAATTCCCTAATTTTTATTTTATTTTTTAATATAGGGGTTAATTTGTAAAGTACAAAAAAAAAGTTGGTTGATTTGGTTGCGCAATTTGAATCTAGTGCGCTCCAACGTTCAAACTGGAGAAGGATCCTCGTGATCATCAAACGGTCGCATTACATGTGAGGAAGCGAGATACAAGTTCCATTTACTCCCCGGGAGCCGACCTCACCTCTTTTGTTTTGTTTTGGTTACTATAAATAAGAGACGCAGACACTTGAGAGTTTCAGACATATTATGCCTCCTCCTCCAAACCAAATTATTACATGCGTATTCTCTCTCTCTCTCTCTCTCGCTCACTTTTTGTAATTCCATTTTTTTCATCATTCATCCTAGCTAGCTATTAAGTATTAATTAATTACATACATGCTGTCTAAGTGTCTACGGCAAGCAGGGCAAAGTCCCCTCCTCAAGCTCCTCCACCCTCCTCTCCGCTGCTACTGCTTGCTTTCCTGCTTTCCAGCTTTCACTTATTCTCTCACTTTTTCCTTTTAAATACATATATCATTGTTCACATTTTTTATGCTCCGACTTAGACATCCTCCTCCTCCCCCCAAAATGAGAATGCCGGTCCTCCTCTTCCTCCTCCTCACATGGAGATGGCGATGGAGATGGGTTCGTACTTCCAATTCCAACCTATCGTTGCTCATGTTTTTGTCAATCCTGCTGTGTTCTACATCCTCAGTGTCGTCGTCATCTCCGGCTGTTTGCTCAGAAGCAGATAGAGCCTCCCTTCTCAGCTTCAAATTCAAAATTTTCAAGGACACAACGCAAATGCTGTCTTCGTGGACGGGCAGAGACTGCTGCGCCGGAGGCTGGGAAGGTGTTTGAGTGCAACCCAGGTGGTAGGGTTACTGTCTTGCAGTTGCAGCGCCCAGCTTCCGGACCTGATTACATGAAGGGCACTCTCTCCCCTTCTCTTGCCAACTTGAATTTCTTGGAGGTACTCGTTATCAGTGGGCTGAAACTAATTACAGGTCCAATTCCTCAGAGCTTCTCCAATCTCATCCACCTCACCCAACTCTCCCTCGAAGACAACTCCCTCGTTGGCCCCATTCCTTCCGGTCTAGGCCTTTTGTCCTCCCTCCAGAGCCTCTCCCTCAGCGGCAACCGTTTCAGCGCGGCCACATTCCCCCAAGCCTAGGCCATCTTCTCCATCTTCTCCAACTAGGTTTAGCAAGAAACTCCCTCACAGGTCCTATCCCACCCACCTTTCTAAATTTCCATGCTCTGCAGTACCTTGATTTCAGCTTCAATGCCTTGTCCGGCCCCATTCCAGATTTCGTAGGTCGCCAGCTGCAAAACCTTACTTACATTGATCTCTCCAATAACCAGTTATCCGGTCAGATGCCCATTTCCCTCTTCAGCTTGTCCAAGCTTTTTGGACCTGTCCTTGAACCACAACCAACTGACTGGCATCATCCCTGTTCAGGTTGCCGGACTCAAATCTCTCACCACTCTTTCGTTGAGCGCCAATCGACTTACAGGACGTATTCCGGTATCCATTTCAAGATTAAACAACCTTTGGTACCTCAATTTATCCAGGAACGGGTTTTCAGATGCTCTGCCTCAGACCCTTGCCAGGGGCATTCCTTCTCTCTTGTCCATAGACTTGTCTTACAACAATCTCAGTTTAGAGAGCGTTCCATATTGGATCAGAAGCAGACAACTCAGACATGTTCATCTTGCTGGCTGTCAATTGAGAGGATCCCTCCCAACATTTACAATGCCTGATTCCTTGACCTCTATTGACCTCTCTCACAATCATTTTTACCGGTGGAATCTCAGAGCTCCTCACCAACGTGACAAGCTTGCAGAGCCTCAATCTCTCCAACAACCAATTGAAGTCGAATCTTTCAGAAATCAAATTGCCCGACGCAATTTCTTCTGTTGATGTGCACTCAAATCAGCTCGTGGGATCTCTCTCGAGAATCTTAAACGATAGGACAAGCAGTTTTTTGGAGTTTTTGGATGTCTCCCATAACCAAATTTCAGGTGAAATTCCAGAGTTTAAGGCAGGCTTGAGGCTCAAAGTGCTCCACATGGGAGGCAACAAGATTTCCGGTCACATCCCCAATTCAGTTTCAAACCTGACTCAACTTGAAAGGTTTGATGTATCAAGGAACCAGATGACAGGCACCATCCCTACAAGTTTGGGGTTGCTGGTGAAACTGAAAATGGCTCGATGTGTCCATCAATGGGCTCACAGGAAGGATTCCAAATAGCCTATTGGGGATTGAAGGGCTCAGACACGCAAGCTTCAGGGCAAACAGGTTATGCGGAGAGATCCCACAAGGGAGACCATTCAACATTTTCCCTGCAGCTGCTTACGTGCACAATCTGTGCTTATGTGGCAAGCCAATGCCACCTTGCAGGGGCAGGGGAAAGAAACAAGAAGCAAATATGATGAACCAGTAAGAGGCTGACACAGACTTGAGAAAATATGAGCATTTTCATTGATATTACATGTAATATACAAAACAGCACGTAGGACAATCTCCTGCAAAAGCCAAGAATCCAAGATCCATAAAAGATAGTCACTTAGTATCTATTTATCATATTCACTTTTAACTTAAGAAGCCTCATCTGTTTACATACCTAGAATAGAAAATGTACGTTCTTTCCTTTGTTAAGCTTATGCTTAAACATCCAAATTAAAGAGCATTGTGCATTAATCATTTGCTTCAGAAAGTGCCTCTCAACAAAAACAAGAATCGAGACCACCAACTAATACATAAACTCAGATAGATTGCAGAATAAGAAGTGGAATGAATCGAATGATATTTTCAATGCACTTTGTAATTTGAAATGATACCGCAAGTAAGCACTAGGCAATTCATGTTTCAACGTACACCAACCAATTATAACACAAACACAAATGGAATTGAAATGCTCAACCACTAGATTTGCATTCACAAGTCCACCAAGAAAAAAGGATGCTCATGAATCAATCAAGAACGATATATATTATAACTAGTTTCAGGAAAGCTGTAGATAGCTCAGATACAACCAGCCTCAGAATTTACAAGAATCCATAAACATGCATCAGACTCATTCCCTCCAAACAGAGAGGAACATACAACTTTCTATGAAAAGGTTTGTCAAACTAGACTAATACTAGTACGC